GCTGCCCCCCGCCCGGCCCCGCGTCTTACCGGGCGCGGGAAGGGCAGTGCCCTGCGGCTCCGCGGCGAGCAGGCGACCAGTTTGTCGCTCCCTCTCCCTCTCTCTCGCTACAGCCTCATTCCAACATGGCATCCTCCCATTGCGCATGCCTGCCACTCTTTTTTAAGCTGATTTTTTTTCGCAGCCAACTCCTTCAATGACCCTTTTTTCCAGCAGTTGCAACATCTCTTTGAGTTGTTTTTTTTTTCTTTCTTTTTTCGGAGCCGATTACAGCGGGTTGCGAGCCCTCCCCCTCCACCCTTTGCACCCCCCCTCCCCCGTGCAAAGAAGTTTGCAAGGGCAAATGACGGAGATAAATAACCGCACGGGCGCGGGGAGGATCCGCCCGCCGCGCCCCGCGATTGATCGCTGCGCGCCTGAAATTGACGCGCGGTGACACTGACCCCCCCGGGCGCGCACACACGTTACTTCGCTTGCACGTGGGAGTGGCGCCTTTTTTTTATTTAATTGTTTAACTGGGGTCGGAAGGTGCGGGCAGGCCAGAGAGCTGCACAGCCCGAGAAGGGGAGCGGACACATCTTGCATCCCCCCCTCCCGGGCTTGCGCGGATCCAGCCCCGAGCAAACACGGAGACTTCCCCCCCAGCCATGTGCGGCTGGAGACACCTCCAGGGTGTCGGGTCCCCCAAATCTGATCCACGTGGGAGGCGCTGAAGAAGGGCCCCTCGCACCTCCCTGCCCATCGCAGAGGGGCTCCACCGGGAAAGGAAGGCAAAAGCCTGCCTTGGGCTGGCCGCATCCTAGGCTGGGCGGAGGCGGGGGTGAGGGATCTCCAAACGCAAGCCCCTGAGCAGCAGGGAGGACACCTTAAGATGCGCCTGGCAGGCAGGGAGGATGCTACACGGATCTGCACATTGAACAAGGGAAGAAACTCCCTCCAGGGAAGGCGCCTGCCATGCGGACAGGTACCGCCGGAGCAAAACAGGGCTTCGCCCTAAATTACACCGGGCTGTAAGCAAGACAATGCCGCACGATGGTCTCTTCAGCTCCAGCAAAGCAGCCTGTTACTACCTCCACTCCGCAGGCGACTACGCCCTCCGTGTGTTTTCCTCTCCCCTTTTCACATTGAGATCTGGTTTGCTGTGCCCCTTCACCGCCCCACCACATGTCAAAGGGAACCGAGTGCCTTCCCAGTCCGGGAGGGCTCAGACCTCCACGGCTTGGACGCTACTTTGGGCTTCGTGTCCACTCCCACTTCAGCTGGGATCCCTGCACTTTTATTCTGCGGCAGGATCACTGATGTGATGTATGTCCCCAGAGGACCTGTTTCTAACCCGGACTTTTTCTTCTTTTTTTTTTTTTAAGGTACTGAATCTTGTCATCATCTTGAATTTTCTTCCAGCAGCATTTCCCGGCAACATTATTATGCCCTGAGGTTTCCATGCAAAAGGGGACTTGTTTGCTCAAAAGACAGATCCCTGATTCACACTTCTGTGTTTTTAATCATGACAAAAAATTGTAAAAGATAAAAAGTTGTGATGGGGGGGAGTTAGATCAATAGAGAAACACACACACACACACTTCATGTATCCCGATTTATGACATCCCCAGGATCCCTCCTCATCCCATTTCTGCACATGTTCATGAATAATAATGGAAAAAGAAGGATCTAAGCCAAGTATTGGAAAATAAGTGGCCAACATTTTTCAAATGTCAACATTTTGGCAATACTTAAAATATTTTAACTGTACCTGGATTCCATGATGTTCCCTCTCTCCTAGTTTCAATACCTGATAAAAGTGGGGGCAGTGCTGGAATGATGGGATATCAGATTTCTACTTTTTCCCCAAAAGATTGAACAAATAATGACATTTCCTTCCTTTGTTTGCCCAGCACCGGTACAGACCGTTGCAGTTTCCCTACCTGACATACCTTGTGTCATAAGGATATCAATACACCTGGTAAATTCAGGAGATACAACGGTAATCCAGATGAGGAAGATGTCAACGGTTTGTGCCTTCAGTGTCCTAGATATTCCCACTTTTTCTCTCCCGCAGTACATGGATTATTGTGTGTTTTCTTTTCTGCACCATCTTCGCTTCTTTTCAGGTGTTTTTTGTGTCTTGCTCTCCCTCTTGACTCTTGCCCTTTAGCACATCTTGTCTTGCAGTCCTGTATCGTCGGCTGTTGTTTTATTGACTGTACCTTATGAACTGAGACTGTGCTGAGCCCTTCACTTACAGGAATACAAGAAAGCATTTCTTCTCCCAAGGAGCTTAGGACCTAACCTAAACTCCTAAATATATTACCTCTTCAGGAGGTTTTGCCTGGTCCGTATCAACGAACACAAGACTCAGAAAAACAGGATCCCCCCCAACGTTTCTAGGTGGCCACTGCAACCTGAAGTTTGGACATCGGCAAAGTGGTTCAACCTCGTAATCAGGCCTGATCCCAACGTTATTGGGTGAAATGGCTGATCCCAAGCCTACTGAATCAAAAGTTCATTTCAATAGGCGGTGATTCTTAACCTTTTTAGATTCAAAATGCCCCTCAAGCCACCCCCTGGAAAATGCCAACTCTTAGTTTTCACTTGTTTTTGACTACAGAAAAATAAGAGCATTTTTTTCCCTGTTGCAAAGCCCTCAGGAAGACCACAACAGGTCAGGGTTTATTTATTGCTATGGATTCCTAGTCAACATCTCTGGGTTGATCTTGTGAAACATGTTTGCACACCTAACGTTGTGGAGCACCCTACAGCACCCTTGAAAGGATCTCAGCTCACCCCAATGGGCTGCAATTGAGAATCACTGCCCTGGCCTTGGATCTTGCCTGTAGCGGACAACATAAACCTACAGTTTTCCTACATTATAGTTTTGCTGGAAAAAAAATGCAGCTAAAGACTCCCAAGTGGGGACTGAATATGTAGGGGCTTATCTTTTTTTTAAATACTTATATGAAAATAATATGTACAAAGGGTGGGATTTTCCAGAGGTACAAATAGGAGTTGGGTGCCTGACTTCTACTGGTAGCTATCCGCCCTTTGTGCTCAGAATAACCTGCTGCAGATATCTATATCCGTTCATAATCAACGTGCCATCGTGGTGCCTGCACTTCAGCAAACTAGTAATGCCCATGTCATTTGAAACTATGGCAATGCCCATGGGCTTACACAAACAAGCATGTCTCACCCATACCAGCTTCCCATACCCTTATTTTCAATAGTTTCATTTTTGCAGAAGAAGGGGAAAGGGAAAAAATGCCTTTTAAATCTATATCATTATATATGCACTGTCATATGGTGTATGTGTGAAATAGATACACCTGATACATAGAGTGAGAGAGATTGAGAGAGCGTTATTACTCATATAATTGCCAGCAACTAGGGGATGGTCATTATGTGCAGCCTAGAGCAAGGCTGAGCCCTAAACAACAGTTGTTAGAGGATAACATGTTAGACGATTTCTCTGTACTTCCCCATCTTACACAATCCTAGGAATAAGTCCCAGTGTGGGGTAGGACTAACACACCACACAGCCTGGCTTTCCCCTTGACTCTATTCCAGGTTTCACCAAATACCGTCTTTGGAGAGAAGAATCTCTCATGAATCTTGTTTCTTTAGCAATATGGGGTAGCCATTACAGAGCCGATTTATTTTGCAAAGTTTTGAGACAACATTCAGGCACTCAGGCACTCAGGCATGACACAAGCACAGCTGGGTTGCGAATAGGGTCTAAAGCACTACCTCTCTGCTCAGAGAGAACTATGAAGAAAACTCACTCTAAGCTCTGTCACTCAGGAGTTATTTGCCTTCCCTCCACACAGGAAGAGAAGTGTCACGGGAGATGAGCCATCGGGTATTATGTGGGTGCACAGATGCATCCATACGTGGCTCTGATGAACCTGGTACATGATTAGTCCTACTGAAATTCAGTGGAACTACTCATGAGCTTAAGAATCACAATGATTTTAAATGCATTTCTGAACTGGGGCCTGCAGTGGTATATAATAATGGGCACATCTACATGCATGCTTTAATGCATATTAGCTGATTTTAATGTGCATTAAAGTATCACATAAAAAACAGTGCTTTTTACTTAATGCACTTTAAGCATCACTTACAAAGCGTTCGCTTTAATGTGCATTAAGCCAAGCTAATGCGCATTTTCCTAGTACCTTACAATGGGGGGTGCCTATACACGAGCAGCAAGGCTGCTCTGAGATGCTGGAATACCAGCACATCGGAGCAGACTCCAGCAGCCGCCTGCATCTCATGTTTCAGTGTCCCTATGCTTTAAAATGGTGGTAGGGGTGCTTGAACTAAAGCTTGTCAAATGAGCTTTAATTGAAGTACCCCCACCGCTATTTTTAAGCACAGGCACACTGATACACAAGATGCGGCGGCGCTTTAATCAGAGAGGCTTTCGAAACTGCTCTAATTAAAGCGCCATCCCCCCCACCCACCCCCGGGGCACGTGTAAAAGTGCCCGATGGTACTAAATTTAATGCGTATTAATTAAAGCACATTAATGCACATGTAGACGCACCCAATATGAGAACACAAAAAGAAGCAGATTCTCCAGCTGCTGTAAATGATGGGATGTCTGTGGGATAGATGTACCTCTGAGCAAGAACTAGAGGGTCAGGAGCCAAATAAATGCCTGGAGTGACACATTATCCTAACTCAGTGGGAGGCAGACATCAGTCCAACTTACACCTGCCTCAGTAGGCAGCTCCAAACGGCAAAGCTGCATCTCCACTGCCACAATTAACGCTCCCCACAACAAAACCATCATCATCCATGGATCAGACACAGCTCTCCCAGAACATGGAATATGTCATCCAGTGCTCCAAGTGCCAGGCGGGTGAAATAAAAAAACTAACTACGCACCAGTATGAATGAGAGAGACACAAGGACACAGGTAGGAGAACAGTTTTCACATGGTGGGGGGGGAAATCACTCCCGTCCTAACCTCATAATTCTTGTGCTCAAAGGAGATCCATCCTTATAAGAGGAGCTTGAGAACAGGGATGTAGATTGAAGTCATGTTGGTCTAACGACATAGGCAGACAAGGTCCTTGTCTGAGCTTGAAAACAGAAATCCATTAGCTTATTGGATGTTAAATATCAAGGACTTCGCATAGACAATGACTTCACAGTCCATTACCATCTACCTGATGCTGGCTACCCTCTTCCCTTCATAGGTGGCAGCAACCTTCCTGAGCAATCTTGTTCTTTCTTTATAAGATTGTCAGGCACCTCTCCTGTCTGTTGGCTGCCTGATACTTTCTCCAATATCCTATT